GATGGATAGATGGATGATGGATGGATGAATGGTTGATGGATGGATGATGGATGGATGATTGATGGATGATGGATGGATGATTGATGGTGGATGATGATGGATAATGGATGGATGATGATGGATGGATGATGGATGGATGTATGATGGATGGCTGGATGATGGATGGATGGATGTGTACAGCAGCATTTCACAATAAAAGTCCTCTGTGCGTCCATCATGAAATGTTCTGCCACTTCTGTCTAATGAACCATCAGCTTGTGCTGGAGCTTCACTTCTTCTCAACCTCCTGACGTTTGTTGTGTCCAAGTGGTCCAAGAGGACAGCTGCAGGTTTCAGTCCAGCTTGAAGGTGTGGCTTTTGGAGCAGGAGCTTCTTTTTGGTCCTCTGAGTCCATGATGATGGAAAACTATCTTCACTGGTGTTCCCGTAGGTTCTGGTCCATGGTAGGCATGAGTCTTGGTGGTTCCTGAACATTTGGACAGTTTCCTTCCATGCTGAAGAGTCTTGGCAGAGTGAAGGCACATCTGCTGTGCGGATCTCATGACCCTGGAATCTGAAGTGGTTAAGAAATTGTTTGACAGCTTCTTCAGGTGGTGCCAACTCCAGTTATCCTTCTGAGATCTTCACTGAGATTCATGTCCCTGTATTTCCTAAAGTTCCTTCATTGTTCTGCTCCAGTGTCAAACAGAGTGTTTGGGTGCAGGCAGCGTCCATCAGCACCTGGACGTGTCGTCACGTGCACTCTGGTACCGTCCCGTTCATGTCATCCATCAACCTTTATTTCTACAGGTAAACCCCACTGAGCCTCGAGGACTCATTTACAAGAGAGACCTGATTTAACAAAGAAAGATGAAACAATGGACAACAGCAACAACAATAAACAGTTATAAAAAGTCATACTACAGTTTATTTTATTAACAAATAGGATGGCTAAAAGGAAAAGGTAACAAACAAAAAACAGCTAGATTCCAAGACAAATGTATAAAACTAAAAACAGGAACATGTCTGCATTGGTCCCTGCCAGGAGTCCAACAAGTCACTTAGAGAGGTCAAAGGTCGAGAGCTTCAGATCTTTTTACAAGATATTCCGGGAAACAGGAGCGGAGTAGGAGAAGGTCCTTTTGCCTAGTTCAGTCCTCACTGAGGGAACACTGCAGGTAATGATGTCCTGAGAGCGCACGCTGTAGCTGCACTCACACAGAGACATGTAGGAGGAGATGTATGAAGGCAGCAGACCAGGAAGTGATTTAAAGATGAAAATGTACCAGTGGGAGAGTCTGTGTGAAGTTAATGGTGACCAGTTAACCAGTGGATACTGGGTGCAGTGGTGGGTACGATAATCACAGCCAGTTATGAATCTTAGTGCACCATGATAGACAATGAAGGCAAGTCATGGTTGACGTTTGTGACTTTTGTTAACAGGAAGTCCGTTCACTGTGAAGATCTTTGGTGAGGGTCGAATGAAGGAGAGCATCACCAGGAAACGTCAGGCCCCGTCCATCGCCACAGTGGGCAGCACCTGCGACCTCAACCTGAAGATCCCAGGTGAGCTGTGTCCTCAGCCTGCTCCCTCCTTCCTCTTCATCTCCCTCTTCTTACCCCTCCTCTCCTTCTTCTTCCTCCCCGCCTGCTGCTCCACCTGGCTGCAGGAAACTGGTTTCAGATGGTTTCGGCTCAGGAACGTCTGACTCGGACCTTCACTCGCAGCAGCCACACGTACACTCGGACTGAGCGCACAGAGATCAGCAAAACTCGAGCTGGAGAGACCAAGAGAGAGGTGCGGGTGGAGGAGAGCACGCAGGTTGGAGGAACTCCCTTCAGGGACGTGTTTGGAGATTTTCTGGGACGAGAGAATCTGAGCGGGTTCAGTGGACTGCCGGCACCGCCGCCGCCACCGCAGGACGGTGCGTTTGTTACAGTCGAGCTGAGGTTCTAACTTCTAACGTTCCAATGTTCTCCACTGGTCTTAAATGTTCTCCACTGTTCTTCAATGTTCTCCACTGTTCTTCAATGTTCTCCACTGTTCTTAAATGTTCCCCACTGTTCTTCAATGTTCTCCACTGTTCTTAAATGTTCTCCACTGTTCTTAAATGTTCCCCACTGTTCTTCAATGTTCCCCACTGTTCTTAAATGTTCCCCACTGTTCTTCAATGTTCTCCACTGTTCTTAAATGTTCTCCACTGTTCTTCAATGTTCTCCACTGTTCTTAAATGTTCTCCACTGTTCTTAAATGTTCCCCACTGTTCTTCAATGTTCCTCACTGTTCTTCAATGTTCCCCACTGTTTTTAAATGTTCTCCAC